CGGGAGCGCGGCCGCGGGCGCTTTGGAGGAGGGAGGGCAGCAGGCGTTTGCCTTCGGGCCAAATTCCATTTCTTGTTGATACGCCGAACTTGCTGTTTGTTCGGGAAAAAAAAACAAACCCACAAACCCAAGCGAAAATGGTCACTGGGTTTCGTATGCAGGAGTGCCTAATCTGAGGGGTTCAGTCCTGTCAGGGCTGTGGCAGAAATCCAGTTACATCATCAGGAGTGTAATAAGTAACATATTGTGCTTTGTTCATTAAACCTGTATGGGAAGGTATGGATGGAAGATTTATGTGCCCGCAAGGCTTGATAGCCCAACCGAAGGACATCCGGCAAAGTAAACCGGACCCGCAGCTGAGGGGGTTAAGTAATCACATTCTTGCATAAGTTCACCCACATGGCAACGAGGAAGACCTTCAGCCTTCATCCTTACGACCACCAGGAGGCAGAGAAAGACCCCCTAGCAACAGAAGGAACATGCGCAGAGTATCGCCCTGATTGCGACATCGCGAATACAGGAAATGAGACTGTATATAATGTGCTTACACGAAACGGGAAGGCGTGAGCCGTTGGCGGAGCGCAGAGTCCCCCGACGCCCAGCGCTGCCTTTGCTCTTGTTCGCTTGCTAATATAATAAAATTCGCATTGGATTTTGATACTTTAAATTGTCCGTGTCTCTACTTATCACAAGGAGTACGTGACATAGTAAGTGTAATGTAGCTGTGAGATAAGTTTTTAGTCCTGTAAAGGTACTGTTAGTCATTCTGTGTCCTGGCAGGAAAACCAGAAATATTTTATTAGAAAGAAGGTTTTAAGTATGTAAGTTCAAGCAATAGGAAATGCATCATATACAGGCAGGCATAAATGTAGAAAGCAGTATGGCAGTGACAGACAATAAAGAATAAACTCTATGCTGCATTTGATATTTTAAACATAAGTTTTAAAAGTTTTTTGAGAAAGATGAAAATACTAAAATGCATTTAAAAATTAGACTTGGCTTTCAGAAGAGAAGCACATGTCAAGGACCACTTTAGACGTGAACTAACCTAATTTAGCGATGCTAGCTATTGTTACAATCACTCATATAAATGTGTGGATGTGTTTTAACTGCATTTGTCGTGTATCTTGCTAGCTAGTAGAAACTGAGGAAAGTTTACAGAAAAAAAAGACTAAATGTAACTGAGGCAGTTGGGAAAGGTGGGTAGCAGAGTCACCTCCCTTGTCTTGTGACGTGGATAGCATGTAGGCCAGAAGTTGATGCATTTGCTGTATTTATCTGTACAGAGTAGTACTCTGCATGTAATTTGGAAATTGGTGTTTTATGCTTGAAATACTAAAATAGGATTTGTGGGAACACTTTAGCTTAAAAAAAGTGAAGTCTTCATTGCAGAATCCATGCCAATTATCAGATTTCTGTAACAGAGAGAAAGGAAATTACATAATTTTAATAACAAAAGATTGCTTTCCAAAGCCATATATATAATTTAAAATGAAATATAGTTAGTGATTATACAATGGTAGGATTTAAAGATCTAGGTGAAGGAAGGGCAATTACTGTGGCAAATGCTATACTGGTCTTACTATACCTTAGTAAAAAGGAAATTTTGTACTCTTGATACTGCTGGAAAGTTGCTATTTTGTTACATAAGGACTACATCATACAATATATGCAGAAAGATTTAAAGTGAGCTTGCATAGGTAGACATTTTTCTGATTAGTGAGCCTATGACTTCATAATGTTAACATTCTTTAAATTAGTGGGTTTGGTTTTACATAGAATGCTTGATACTTGATAACAACCCCAAATATTCAATAGCTTTAACTTGTTCGCTATTAATTTAGAGATAAATTCCTACCTCCAGAAAAAAATACACAAGCCTCTCTACATTCCTCTTCACTCTCAAAGCGGTTTGCATTTCCATCACAGCCACCATACCAAAACTGAGCACAAGCATTGGCTTGTTTATCATAATACCATTTTATGATATAAACACGGCATGGCCCTTGATCCAGCCTTAACTTGCACCGAAGGTCCAGGATACTATCTAAAATAAAGAAAAAAAGGAATAGAAACAGTTCAGTTTGTAAAAGTCCAGTGTATTATATAGATTTTAACTTTTAAAAACTGCTTTTATTTTATTTTTTTGCTAATATTATACAGCAGTTTAAGATTCACTTTTCATTCTAAAGATGTTAGCATTGAAGGAAAGTTAAAAGTGCATCTTAGTAGGTCAAGTAAACTGTTCCTTTACTGGCATGGTTCTAACAACTCCAGAAATAATAGTATTATGGCTCCACGTACAAGAAGAACAAACAATATGAATCTGATAATTTTGAAATCTAATTTTTGAAATCTAATAATCAGCAACCAGTCTTGTGAGCAACCCTAGCTGTAAGCTAGTTGCACCTGCTATTTTTGAACCACAAGTATGACCATCACCCTTCTGGAGTACATGGCTTCAGTACATTCTTGTTGTGGTGTGAGGGAAGAGGCGTTAGAAGAGTGAGAAGAATATAAAACATTCATCTCGCTTTTCTAGGATGTTTGTACTAATCCAATACAATGGTAGTACTTATGTACATTCTAGTTAAGTTTAAATGTAAAGCTTGTTGGTCTAATGGCTACTACAGATAGGCACTAGAGGGCTGTGACATACCACTTATTTTAATAATACCATGAAATAGAAAATACTTTTCCTTCAAGCTTAATGTTGTGACATCAATATTATGTCTTTGGCAACTGGTATCTTGACACTTTAAAAAAAAAAAAGTTATTGATAGAGGCAGTCATCCCATGTTCCCAGGAAGTGTGGGAACAAATTTCTATTGCTCTCTCCTGTTGCTCCCGTTGTAGTACACTATTACTGGAACTGGAATGTGTAAATCCCCCAAACAGTGAACAGAGTACGTTTGGACATTTCATATGAAAAGAATCAACCCTTTGAGCAGTTAGCTAGTTACTATACTTACCTTCAAATGCCTAAACACTGTTTTTTCCTATTTCTGTTCTGAAGGAGAAATCTATTTTTCTGTCCAATTCTGAAATCATTATCTTTTCTGTCTTTAATGAAGCCTCCCATCCCCATAGACTGCCCCTTCCTGGCTGATGAAGTGCGTGCTGACTGGCCCACCTCAGCTAGCACTATGTTCTCTTTCTGATGCCATTCGTGAGCTCTGTCTCAGGTTACAGCTGACCTTGCTTCTGCTGTTAAGTGGAGCAGTGGGATTTGGAATTTGGGAAGACAAGAACTGGTGAAGAGGCTGGACAAGAATTGCAGCTAGATCTGCTGTAAAATCCTCAAATGGATTCTCTCCCACAGCACGGGCTCACTAAATCTTCAGAGAGTGGAACAAAATTACTCTGATTTAAAGCCTTATGAAAAGTTAGTAACAGGGAACAAAATGAAAACTAGTTATCATCTATAACCTGGTCTTGGTGTGAGCCCTGCAGTTGAAAGAGATGATGTCATCACTTTATCTGATGATGATGGTTCAGATGGCAATGATGGTACCACAGCTGCAGGTGAAAAGAAACAGACTGAGACGTTGATTTTTGATCAGCAAAAAAAAAAAAAAAAGAAGAATGATGATAAAAATACCTCTAGTGCCCACTGTTAGCGAGGGTGACTGTTCCTCCTCCTGTTGTTCCTCTTCATAGGCTTCATAGACTACCACAGGAGGTACTTTGGTCTGAAATAAGCATTGATTTTCTTTGCTTTTCAGATATTGTGAAGTGTCGCAAAATGAACAAGCCCTTCATCACTCAGAGGTTTTTGAATGTTTTTCCTTACCATTTACCCTGACTTCAGTGTTAAGAATCAGGATTTTAACCTCACCTGGTAGGTTTACCAGGAGGGTTGTCAATCCTAAACCTGGGGTATATATTTTTTTTAGTTGACCTTTACAGAATTTTATTTATAAACTTAAAAATATAGACTACAATTGAGTTTAATTACTATTCTTAGACTTAATTATTACAGTGTAATTGCATTTTAATAACCTTACATTTCACACTGTGGCACAAATATTACTGTATTAAACACAGGAATAATAATCTTTGTAACAGAAATAAATTATAGCCAGTAGATAACTGCTTGCGTACAAGATCAGAACGCTTACTTGGAACAACCAGCTCCGAGCATACCAAGTTAAAGGAGCTATTACAGTACCTGTCCTGTAGAAAAGTAGGGGGAAAGTTACATGTTGCATCAGGCAACAGAGAAGGATATATATATATATATATGAAAAACTTCTGCTCATTAAAGCCTGCTGAATTTTCATACCGGAGCTAATGGTTGAGGAAGATTGCCAAGACCCAGCGGACTTTCTGCCGTAGATACTCCAGGTGTCTGTGCTGAAAGTGATTGTCTATTAACATTGTTGTTCTGAAGTATGTAATGTAAAGAACTTGAAGATGCTGAATGGAAAGATGGTCCACTTATGCTTGCACCATTTCCATTACGGTTGTATATTAAGGTACCATGTTCATCTTCACAAAATTGGTTTACTAATTTGGACTCCAGAGCTGTTTAAAAAAAAAGCAGAAACCTCATCATACTGAGAAATTAAATGTATTTTTTGAATTTGGATTATTTATATACATAAATAATACTTGTGCCATCCAGTACTCCTTTGGATTATTTATATGCATCTAAGAAGATTATTCTGGGCTCTCTGGACTATGGCTTTTATTTGTCACAAATTTGCCAGCCTGTAAGTCCTCTACAGGGTACAAAATACAATGAACTCGCCTAAAGGTGTTAATCTGACTTTAGCAACAACTACTAGTTAGTAGTGGGAGAATAACTGCTTACTTTGCTCATGTGAATAACCAAATGAAAATGGGTTATTTCCCAGTGGAAGTGAATAAGTAGAATTTAGCCCAGCGGGTTTGATTCTGGTTTCCACTCCAGCAGATTTACAGTGCATGAACACTTACTCAGCTTAGAAAGCTAGTTTATAAACCAAAGCTATAAATTAGCTTTCTAAGCTGAGTAAGTGTTCATGCACTGTAAATCAGTGTTCATGCAGTGTAAATCAGTAAAAAAGCAGCTGTTTTCCTGCACTGTAGGTGACATCCCCCGTTGGCATGATGAATCATTGCCCTATAGCATGACTCCTTAACAGATGGGAATCTGTATCTCTACGTTCCTGTTACTTTGCACTTGGTAACTGATCCTGATCAGCATCAAAACATGGCATATCCACAAAGGTAATGCTTCCCCCCCACCCCCCCACCCCATTTGGAGAAGTATCAGATACAATGCAGAATAAAACTGCAATGAACGCACCTGGGAGGGTATTAAAGTCATCAATGAGATACATGTGTTCTCTGTCTGGATCTGAAGCAATCAGATTTAGTTCACGCACAAACTCGGCCTGTGTTGGATCTGAAGTATTTACAATTCCTATTGCATACATTTCGATGTTTGCAGCATGAGCCTCTCGGACAACAATATCTAGTTTTACAGCTTCTCTCTTGTCTGCTTGACCATCTGTTAGCACAATAGCTACTTTTCGCACTCCTGTTCGAGCACCAAAAAATCCTTCCTGGGTTGCTTTACGGATAGCAGTTCCTGTGTAAGTGCCTTCTCCCATGTATTGCATTTTTCTAATTGCTTGCTTAACATCCTGTTGAGTCGTGTACTTGTTCAGACCAAATTCTAGCCGAACTTCTAAACTGTATAACACAAGGCCGATTCTGGTAGCATTTCTGCCTACAGTTACTCTGTCTACTAGAGCGGTTACAAAGTCTTTGATAATCTCAAAATTTTCTGGTCCCACACTCTCGGAGCTATCAATCACAAATACAAGCTCCATAGGAATTTCCTTACATTTAATACCGCAACCTGAAAAGGAAAAATAAAAAGACGGATCACAATGACTTGAGTTGGTATCCTTTTGGAAAGGAGAAGAATGTAAATGTAATGAAGAAAAAATAGAATCTGAAATTAAAGATTTCCTGAGTACTTACCACATATTTCTTTAATTAATTTAATTATATCTTCTCTCTGGATATGGAAAAAATTAAATATAAAAATATTTTACAATTTGCCTCTTTCAAATGAGGTGTAATATTGACACTACCAAAGATTTTGTTTATAATGAATATCTGTGACCTACAGGGACTTATGAAAAATCTTTCTGTTTGACTTTCAAACCTAACCTTCCAAGCTTGGAGTGAGTCCTGGATTTTACAATTAAATATTTTATATGGCATATCACAGTGTCACCGAATCACAGAACAGCAGGGGTTAGAAGGGACCTCTGGAGATCATCTGGTCCAACCCCTTGCTAAAGCAGGTTCACCTACAGCAGGTCACACAGGATTGCATCCAGGAGGGTTTTGAATATCTCCAGAGAAGGAGACTCCACAGCCTCCCTGGGCAGCCTGTTCCATTAAGAATCATTAACTTGACGACACAGGAACACCTTTATATGAAACAATAACTTCTGTTATTGTAAAGAATGTTTAGTGATTATTTGGTTCTCATTAAATCTTGAAGTCAAAAGCCATATGTATTTTAGCATCTGAATACTATGGATATACCTTTTAAATGTATTGGGAGTAGAGAAATAGACCGGCTTCAGGAAGCGTATTGCTTGTAGTGAGCTGGCACAGGAGAGCGCCAACAGGGAATGGAATTGGGGTTTGTAAACCCGAGGGTACCTGGCCCACTGTATTACCCAGCTGCTGTCTGTTCAGAGAAGTGATAGCTTCTGTGACATGCACACAAAGTGTTTCTCATTACTAGAGCAAGCATTCGTTATATTTTTTGAAGTGCATGACAGGACTTATTTGGCATTGAGTCAGTCTTTCAAATACAACCTTTTGCTACTGCTGCTCAGCTTACATCATAAACCTCAGTAGTATTTGTATACTTACTGACATGCTTTACTGAATTTGGGTCTAGTGCAGTTCAGGCTTCACAGAAATATAATTAACTTTATAGCATGATAGACCATGACAGGTTTGAAGATCTTTGCTCTTTAGACTCTTGAATACTTAAAAAAACCCTTTTCCGTAGCAGGTGCACACCTGGGTGATCTAACACTAACTGTAAAAGAACATGTAGCAGAAAAATACCTAAAATCACCAGAACTTTAAATTCCATTTCAGCATAAATTAGATGAGAAAAAGTTAGAAACCTTTTGTGGTTTCTTTCTGTGTTATTACTGAGACCCCTTCTAATCAGAAAGCTCTTTGCAAAATAATTTACATAGGATTCATTTCATCTGATAGTATCTTGTACTGTTTATATCTTGCCATAATGCGATTTAAATAATGGAATTTGCTTACTGTTAGGCCTTGCTCTCCCTTTGGTCCAGTTTTGCCCTGTAACAGTGATTGTTAATTAAGCTACTGCAATTAGTTGGTAACACTGTAATTCAGAATATGACTTCATCAATACCATTATTAGAATAACATTTGGCCAATAAGAACTTTGGCTAGAAAAAGTAGTGTTCTTGTCATGCAGTATCTACAACCTCCTAAGGTGGTGAGGTTTTTACGGGAATTGGATGACTTCAGGTCTCCCACTGCATCACTGATTGTCAGTTTACATTAGAAAGGGAGAATCTGTGCAAAACTTTTCTTGTCTGCCATGTTGTATTTGTTTCCTTTCTCAAGAGACTGTACCTGCCTGACACCCTGGAATGATCAGAATTCTGTTTCATGATATGTGAATCTAATAGCGCCAGCATAAGTGCGAGAACGGGAATAGCGTTTATGTATCCCTACTTAATAGTATGCAAATGTCAGAATAGAGGGGACCACATTTTGCTTTCCAGCTTTTGGGGACCTGCCTATCTGCAGAAGTTACCATTTTGACTCCCTTCATCTGTTTATCAGCTTTGAGGGAACGTCTGACCTACGGTTACTTGGCAGCCAGAGAATAGAGTTGCATAGTTTTGTCTTAAAACATGGCAGTTGTCTTTCACTGCCTTAAGAAAACACGTCTGTGGGAAGCAGGGTATTCAGCATGGAAATGTCTTCTTTATGCTTTTAAAGGTTTTCATACTTTCAGTTTCTTAAGTATTTCAGATTATATGTAGTTAAATAGCAAGAACAACACACAACCCGGCCTGATTTTTAAGCAGTTTAAGAAAACAGACATGATACACCTGAGCTACTCACAGGTTCTCCAGATAAACCAGGGTCACCCACATCACCTTTTTCTCCTTTTTTCCCCTTTTCACCTGTAGCTCCTCGATCTCCCTTTAAAACCATGTTGGTAAGCAGACAGAAAGTGTAAGTCAGTTTTTATTGCACTTCTCACATTTCTCTCTAGCTGCCTTTGTCAAATTCACCTTTGGCTTCTGGCATGAGTTAGAAATCTTTGTTAGAGATCATTTTAATCAATTGGTATTTGTGAATTTTGTGAATAACTTGTAGTATTGGCTAAGCATTTTTATGGGAAAAAATAGCTGAAGCAGTTTAAACAATCATGGAATCATAGAACCATAGAATGGTTTGGGTTGGAAGGGTCCTTAAAGCTCATCTAGTCCAACCCCCTGCCATGGCAGGGACACCTTCCACCAGACCAGGTTGCTCAAAGCAACTCATCCAACTCGGCCATGAACACTGCCAGGGAGGGGGTATCCACAACCACTGTGGGCAACCTCTTCCAGTGTCTCACCACCCTCACAGTAAAGAATTTCTTCCTAAGATCTAATTTAAATCTCCCCTCTTTCAGTTTGAAACCATTACACCTCGTCCTATCACCACACTCCCTGGTTAACAGTCCCTCCCCACCTTTCCTGTAGGCCCCCTTTAAGTACTGGAAGGCCGCTAGAAGGTCTCCCCAGAGCCTTCTCTTCTCCAGGCTGAACAACACCAACTCTCTCAGCTTGTCCTCACTGGGGAGGTGCTCCAGCCTTATGATCATCTTTGTGGCCCTTCTCTGGACCCGCTCGAGCAGGTCCATGGCTTACTTATGCTGGGGGCCCCAGAGCTGAACCACCTCAAATAAATACATGCAGACAGAGGGGTTTAATGGGATATTGCATGATGAAAATTATTATCTGTGTCTGAGAAAAATAAGATAACAGTAGGGAAATTGAGAAGAAAGGCAAGGATGCAGTGGAACGAATAATGGGAATATCACTCTGAGAAACCTTTTGGCCCAGAAAAGGTGTTTGGAATGGCAAACAGATGGATTGAGGCCTCTTGGTTTGATTTTTAGTAGGCCATGGGCCTTTGTACAGCCTTTCTGAGACTGATGTGATCACATCCAAAAACTGATTCCAACCCACATTTCTCTTAACATGGATGTAGTCCCCAGATTTTGCATAGTGGGTGGGTAAGAAGAAGGCAGTGATATTAAATCTAATATCTGTATTTCTTCTAATTGCAGTAGAACATAAGTCTCATATGATACTAAAATAAGCAACACTGGAAAAGATGCTCCATAAAATACTATAATGATCAAACAAACAATCACATGATTGACTGGGGTTTTCCCAAATCCGCATTCCCTTTGCACAGAATTCACATGCCTTCAGTGAGAGCTGACTGTAATGAGCATTTTCAGTATGTTGGCTTCCATCTAGGACATTATCTGATTTAGATATCATACCTTCAGTCCCAAAAGCCCTTCTCCAGGGGGGCCTCGTGGTCCTGGCATTCCTTGAATTCCTTGTTCTCCCTAATGATAATCCAGGCAGTGATATTAACCCTTTGTAATCATGTGTTAATTTTAAATGTCCAAAGAGAAAGTGTTTCAAACTATGTTTTAACAAGTGTCTTGAGGCACTTGAGATAGTGTAGTAGCTAGCTTATATTTCTCAAATGCTTCATCAGTATGTCTACTCTAAAGATATATAATATTGAAAAACTGCATGATCATTATTGATTCTAATTCTCCTGTTCCCTCTTTCCATCCCATCTTATTCCTTCTCATACACCCTTTATTATTTCTGTCTTTTGATTCTGCTTCATCTGATCTATGCTTTGGGTAAAAGTGCATATAACAGGAAAAAATTATTAGTACACATAGATTCAGGGTGGAGACTTCCTCTACCAGAGGTGATAGTTCATGTAACTACTTCAGACTGTCTCTGTGGGTTGAGAGTTGGGGAAGAGGGAATGGTATTTTTAGTTTTGTAAGGCTGTCTTTAATTGATAAAAGATGCCCCTGCTGCCTCCTCCCTCAATACACACCACCTTGGGCTGGTTGTTTACAGCAGTAGAGACAGAACATGCTTTGTAGGTTATCCTCATGTTACCCTCCTCATTTTCTAGCCTGAGGCTCTCCTCAAATAAGAAACAATGTGAAATCTCCTTAACACTCTGATGGTCAGATTGATCACTCACACAGGCTAAATATTGAAGACACTGAGTCTTTTTACCTTAATTCCTTGAATACCTTCACCAGGAGGTCCCAGAGAGCCAGGTGGCCCTGGGCGTCCTATGGTTCCCTAGAGAGAAACACTGCATATGTTAAATACAGTATTTGTAGTAAAGATACACAACAAATTGTTAATCCACTATGTAATTTCCAGCCCATCCTCTACCAAATTGATGTCTCTTTATAAGTAGTGAGGATAAGATTGCTCTAGCTGACAAAGACTCTTTTAATCCTTTATCAGATTATTAAAATGCAGTTTATACTTCAAAGGAGTCACTCAGGGCTTAATGCTCATTGAACATGCATCACCTTGTTGATAGAGACATGCATTGCATTGAAGGGTGGATTGTATTGGTGGGACATCGGCGACTGAATTAAGAATTAAGAGAGGATTATTATTGTTGTGTTATCTTTCACCGCCATTAAGCTTACACAGTAAGACCTGTAGAGATACATGCTAATGTGACATTGCAAATAAACACCTTTTGCTAATTTGTAAGCTAGTTTTATTTAAAAGAACTCTAGAGAAAATGTTTCAGTTCTAGATGTGATTCATAGGAAGCAATCAAAACCCATGTAGTACAATATTAATTTTATACCTATATTGCTATTCCATTATCCCTGCATGAAATTCTCAGTTCCCTCATTTGTAAGGATTCTGTGCTCATGCCAGTCCTTGGGACCAGCACTGGCTGGGGAAGTGCTTCACCACTGCTTAGCTCTGGATCTAGCCCACGTGCCAGCATGAACGGAATCTCTGGGACCAATAAGCCACATTGTGCAGGCAATACATTATTCTGTTGCAAAATCTTTGCATTGACCTTGTTCAGTTAATTTACATTTACATTCTAGGACAGTTCTTTCTCATTAATGGACTTCTAAAGCTGAGTTCTAGGAGCATAGGAATTTCCAATTTGGGCAGTTTCATAGTGAAAATTGCTTTTTATAGTTACAATTATTTCCAGGCCTTCGTCATGGTGTATATTATAATTACACAAATAATCCTTTTTGCAGGGATTGGTCATCATATTGGTCATTAGATGATTATCGGTATACTTTATGCAGTAAGAAAGAGGAATGAATTCTAGAAGAACTCGACCGTATGCCTGTACCTTAAACAGTAGTATAGGCAAGACATGATAAGTGATAAGGCCATTAATACTGACCAATGCTAGGTCTGAAGAAATTTTTGCTACTGTCTGCAGGAGCTAAATGTTTTGTCACTGATCTTCACTGCAGTATTACCACTTTATAATTTATCATATGCAGTAGGAAGAAGGCCATGGTTTATGGTTAGTGTAGGAGTAAGTCAACAAGGAGAGAAGGGATGGAAAGAGTTGACAGGATTCAGGCAGCTCCTGCCCTGAGCCTTGAACAAGAGTAAAGGAACATAACAGGGAAGTAAACAGGTGCAGACGTTAGGTACCCTGGGAGGAACGCAAGCCTGCAGAACAGCAGCCAATGGGGTTAGTGGTAGTGGCGCGTGGACAATGCCTGTACACCAACCACAGCTTACTTAGTCGCGCATGTACCAATAGAGAAAAGTATATAATGATGCTGTAACAAACAATAAATGTCTTTGGTTCACCCTCGATTGGAGTCCACGCTCTCGATCTCCACAGCCAGTCACCAGAAACATTTTTGATTTTCTACAGAGTAAAGGCACTGTATTCCTTAGGTATCTTATTTGTTGGATTAGTTGTTTCTACTGAAGAGTGAAGACAGAAAACAGGTAGATGTGATGCATGATCACATCTTTTTATACTATGCTTTTTTTTTTTTTTTCTTTTTAAGAAAATAGACAATGAGAGACATAATTGTTTAAGTGACTTACTTTTGGTCCTGGCAGGCCTTCTCCTGGCGGACCTGGGAGACCAATTGGTCCTCTACTACCGGGATCACCCTGAAAGTTGATACTTTAAAAAATAAGTTGTGAATACCAAAGTTTAATTTATCTGTAGAATTCCCAGCGTCTGTTGTGCTCAAGTGGGACAAAGAGAGGAGAATTACTGAACGGCACAGTGCAAGTCTAAACAATGTTAACCCATGAATACAGCAGGCAGGACAAGAAAGTTATTTGGGTTAAACAGTGGGTAGTGGTCTGAACCATTCAAGACATGTACAGTCAATTGTGCAATAGTTACACAGGAATTACAATTCCCATATCATAAAATGAACTCCACGTTCCCCAAACAAACAAATGCTTTGCTTGCTGCCTGTCCATTGAATCAGACTCTATGTTCATGTTGGCACTGTTCTAGCTTTTCCCTGTCAGTGCTTTCAGACAGCTAGGGGTGGACAAAGATGTATGTTCTTTTAAGAGATATTAAGGATATTTAAATAGCTGTAGTCAATCCTTGAATTGCCTGTATAATTCCAGTTATATATAATCCTGCAATCAGCATCAGGATGAGTTCTGAAGTGAAGCTTGAACATCTTTTATGGGATCTACCTTTTATATACTGACAAGTAGATTAAAGATGGATTAAAAAGTATTCTTACTGTGACCTATGGGTAGGAATTATATCTGCATGAAGTAGAGTACAGACATGTGTTTACTTTTCTAGAAGTTAAGGCCTATACCTTAGGTCCTGGTAGTCCAACTCCATCTGGGCCTTGTTCACCAGGAATCCCAGGAAGGCCTGGCAAACCCTGAAATTATATGCACAGGCAGAATATTAATTTAATTTATGGCTGTATTGACTATATGCTTTTGTTAGCATTAAGATGGTAGCACCTTGAATATGTTGTCTCTTAGTGGGATCACTGTGGTCTACAATTTAACATTCTACTCTGATAAGCCAGAATTGGTGTCAGGGGCATTTGCATGTGTGGGGGATGTCATGCAGGAGGCTCTCATGTGTTTGAATGCAGAGGAGTCTGATCCAGAGAGGCAGGTGCAGAAGCAGTTCTGCATCGGATTGCACAAAAATACCAGCAAGTATTATAAATAGAATTCCAATTTCCATTTTGACATTCATTAACTTTTATTCCTCAGTGTGGCAATTGCCTGCACTTTTACTGTTGTCTTTAGCACCGATAAGTGTTAGTACATCACCAAACTCCCCTGACTCTAGCTAGCAGTCTTCCTGGAACTTCTCACTGCACCGGCCTGTAACTGCCAGGGCTGGTGGAGCACACTGTTGAGCAGACTAGGTGCGTGAGGCTAGTGCTGCATACATGTGCAAGGAAGGGAGAGGAAGGAGCCTTTTCTTTTTGTATCCTTTTTGCAGGGATTGGTCGTATCTACCAGTAAAGACCTCTGTAAAGGGCTGCAAAGTAGATCAACCACTTCTTTGCCACATCTTCAACAAAGAACTGAGGATGGTTTGCTCTTCTGTCTCGTTGGACAGTAGTTGCTTTTTTTTAGTGATTCTGGAAGATAGTGTTGCCCTGAGCTCACACCTGTGTATATGGACACAGCTGCTTAGGTGGGCTATGTTCTCCTGTTTGGAAATAAATTTCATATAGTTGGGCAGAAGACAGTATCCTACATCAAGATATTGAGGGAACTGATTGAAACATCAGTGATACTATAGAAAAAAAAAAAAGCCCCACTTGGAATATATTACATTGTGTAATCAGGAGGAGTGGAGGACATGGAAGGTCTTGGACTATTTCGGAGGGAGATTTCTTTTTCCTTCTATGCTGAAATGCATTTCCCCATCTGAGGAGCCTTTTTAGGCTTTTAGACCAGCAAATCTTTTCCTAGCATGTCAGCCATGGAGGCTAATCGCTTTGGTGTAGCACCTCTTTGTTCCCAATACACATTAAAAAAAATGTCTATAAACTTACAGGTGGGCCAGGATAGCCATCTCCTTTTGGCCCAAAGGGCCCGGGGGGTCCTGGAAGACCTCGGTCACCCTGATGAAGGCAGGAAAAACAGCTGAGGTGAATGCCAATACAATTGCTAGCAGGAAATTTTGCATGAAAGTGAAACAGCTTTGGCAAATATACTGTAAGTTGATTTTATCTGTCTGTCTATCTGCTAATGTATTTTACTGTGTGAATCTTTGTAGGTTATTAATCCTGGACTAAAACTGGAGTATTTAGTAGTACTGAGGATTTACAGGATCTTTCACTTCTGAGTCACTAATTTGAATCTTCTTCAAGAGCTCTGTCTGTTGTTATTTGTGGCCTATGTATAAGAAGGAATGACTTCAGTTGCATTCCCAGTGTTTTTATCATGTTTACCATTATTATTCCAGCTCGGGGGGAGCAGGCCCTAACTGGCAGACAGCCAAGAGTCTAGCATGGGAACTGAATTACTCAGTAGCTACTTTATGTAATTCTTGTAACTGAAGAGAGATAAACTGCGGCAGAGCATTGGGAAAGCTCTGTATAGCTTCTGCACATGCTGTATGTTTGTGTAGTGAGGCAAAGGATGTAGGGCAGGGAACAACAGTGGTTTGTGTGGTCCGTTTAAAAGTGTGGTTTTCTATCACAACGTTCCTGCCTGGTTTTGTTGTTCCAGAATTGTATTTTCCTATAATGCTGAGGAACCTCATTAAAGCTATTGAGTATAGCAGGAGCTTCCTATCTGAGATGTACAATTAAGCTCCTTTCATGGATCCAGATAGCTGGAATATCTCAGGAATAGATTTACTAGGGAAACTAAGAGAACTTTAACCCTTCTGACCATACTGGATAGTGCAGTGATTGCTCAGAGTTACAACTGGAAGGATGATCAAGATTGTGTTTGTCCCTGTAGCTACCCAAAATACGGACATGCGTAATAGTGGCAAGCAAAGGCTCATTCAAAAATAATTTTAAAAATAAGTCTATAAAAGGTTTTACCCTGTACAGCTTAGTGCAGATATGTGTCTCAGAGTGAAGCAACAGCAAAACCACTAATGCTGACAAAGACATCAAGGAGTAAACAACGTAGTCACAGAAATATGCAGTGTCATCCATTTTAAAGACCTTTGAGGAGTCAAGGCTGAGGGAGAGAGACTTGCAACTCTGAGCAAAGGACCTGCTTCCTGTTGGATTCCCAGAAATAGAACAACATGCAGTTCTCTGAACAGGACTGGACTTAACCAGACTGTACCAGAACAGTACGTGATTCCATCATCATCATTATCTCCTCCTGATGAAAATAAATTTAAGGATCTTGAAAAACACTAACTGGTCAGAAAGGGATAGAGATTGTTACATGTTTCTCATGCTTCTGTTACTGTGCTCAGTTCACTCAAAGAACAACGGATAAGGGCTATAACTCAAAAGTATTGTTGAACTCACCAAGTCAAAAAAAGGGGGTGGGGGGCAGGATCTGGTTATTTCGAGAAACACAGGTTTATATGTCCCAGATTTCTTTGTGTTCAGATAAAATCAGCCCTGGAATGAAGAGTGGCTTACTAAAGTTGAATCTAGGTAACACTGAGGCAGTACTAGAGAAGCGCTAGAGAGAAGTCCTTAGAGATTAGCTATTTGTTCATGTTCTTCTTCCACTACTTAAGGCATCTCTTCTCACACTGCCAGTTTGGTCCATGTTCTGAGATCTTTTTGGAGTCTATGGATTACCCTGTGTCAAAATTAGTAATGAAGCAAAGGAGCCTGTCTGAGAAAAATTAGCTGTGCTTGACAGGTAGGCTGTTGTAAGCACACAACTCAGGTGTTCTCTCTGTATTCACTCCTCGTCAGTTAAAACCAGTAATTTTTCTCCTGGCTGTCTGCCATGTGAAAGCTTATGGTTCATGAAGTCTGGAAGATTGACCATCCATGGTTTTCTAGCTCTACTCTGCCAGTGTTGTATGACATACACCTTAAGAACTGTGGAACACTTAGCAATCACTGAAATCCTGCCTTATTTTACAGTTCGGTCAGAAACCGGTTTACCAATTTAGGAGCTACCTTTGCCCCAGGAAGCCCAAAACCTGGTTCCCCAATAGGTCCAGCAAGACCAGGTAACCCAATGTCCCCCTGCAATGAAGAAAAGATACACTCTAGTTATGTATTTTATTAAACACCAATCACATACTGTGGTTTTGGATTTCTGTTATACAAATCTATATATATATCAAATGTAATAGCTAATTTTATTTGTTGCTATTGCAACCATTAAACTCCAAAAGCAGAACAAAGAAAAATATTTTGATATCCAAGGTTATCCAAAACAAAGAAATGAACATAGGTAGGCCACACCTCGAGCTGGCATACAGTTAATACCAGGGTATATGGTAACTAGATTGGATACAATCTGTAACTGTTCATAGGAAAGAAGAAGTTTTAGTTGACCTCATAAGGCTGAAATTATTTGCACAAATAATAGCATGGCCTGTTTCACAGTTTTCACCCTATGTTTATAAATGCTAGGAGATGGTGTGTGGGTGTTACCTTTGGTCCAGGTACAGCTCTTCCAGGAGGGCCTGGCATTCCAAGACGGCCTGGCACACCGGGCTCTCCCTGCAGTGAAGGAAGGAGGGCAAAAACAATGAGTGTTTCTGAAAGTGAGCATGATCATCTCAGGGAGAAAACATTTATGCGACAATTTATAATATTCCATTAAAATTCTAGTAGAATTTCTAATATCCTATTCTATGTGGAGTGAAATCTATTTGAAGAAATGATAACAAGCATAGTTCTGATTTCTCAGTGGAAATGAGATTCTTCTCAGTCACTGAACAAATACATGTTATTAGAAACCCCTTTCTCAGTGTGTTCAAGACTTGGTCCAGCACATCCAGCACTCAAGGCTTCTGGCCCATCTGTGTAGGTATACTGAAAACATGTATATTTTTCTGTTAGAGTAGGTTTTTTAAAATAGTCCATTCAGTGTACTTTTTTACTCCTTTTTATTTTTCCTCTTATGTGGAAATACACACTTTTGTATGTATAAAAAGCAAAAGACTTAAAAAGAAACTGGAAGAGAAACCTGAAGTAGTCCTTTTCTCACTTTCAGTGAGTACTGAGTATTTGAATAGAAACTCCAAATCCATAAAAGAATATCAGCCATGAGTCAGTGTAAGGGAAAATAAAGTCCTGTCACATGTGTATATGCCATACGTCATATTGTCTTCCCAAATATTTCAGCATAAAAATACCAGTATTAGCGTCCCTTAAGTTTTTTCCAAGCTGACAGGGAAGCAATATGGTAAATGCAAAGTTTTTAAAAAAGTGCTTCTAGATGTTTATAGGGATCATGGTGTGTCTTGCAAAGGCAAGCCTTAGCTGAACTTCTTTTTTTAAATTATTTTTAAGAAACAAGTTCATTCCAGGAAAGTTGTTTCTGAGATCTAGAACAAGGCACAGCTTTGGGAGGCTGTTTTGTACACATAACATGGTAATAAACCTACTTTAGCTCCAGCAGGTCCAGGCAGTCCTGTTGGTCCTGTTAATCCGCGTATTCCTCTCTGGCCTTGATCTCCCTACAGAAACGGAGAAGACGTGTCACACATAACAAATAATATTAAGAATGTATTAACTGAAATGAATTGTAAGTATCAGTAAAGATAGTGAAGTTCTATCTCGTAGCTGGTATACATGAGCTGTTCTTATTGGCAAGTCAGTTAATTCTGTGCATTAATTGTCCAGTTTTGCATTTGTACAGTTAAAACTATGTAGATTTCATCTGAAATTAAATTAATGGATTTACCAGTGAATACTGTGAAGAAAATAATAACCAAAAGGAGTCTTAAAGATTGCTTCCTTGCAGCTGAAAAATCAAGTTAAGTAATTACGTGAAAAATATACTATCTAAGAGGAATAATCAAAACAGGAAAAGATAACTCAGTCAAAGGTATTTTTTTTATTCAAAGGCAAATAGGGCAAATCAATTCACCACGGTGCCCTCTCTGATTGATCAGCTTATACTTCTGGGCAGAAAAAGCTAAGAAAAGATAGTGTATAGTTTGTAAATAGACAACTGCTATTTAAGCATATTATTAGGCTGTAATGATTACAACAAAATAGAAACAGCTGTGAGTCCAGAATCATTCCGAAAACGTTCCAATGCAGTAATTAATTTTATTGCTGCATCATGTCATCTGCATGTATTCCATACTAAAGTGATCTGAAAACAGGTGGATGCCTTGATTTGCCTTCCTACACTGTCTTTTAGCCCTTCCAGGTTCTTGCAGTTGTGATACTCAATATCTTCATTTCTCTTCTATTGTGACATTTAATGTCTGTATGTCTTGTGCAATGTCTTGTACAACTACTCCAGCAATTTCCAGTGTCTCTATTTCACAGGATACAGATGCTGATATGAGAAAATGGAATTACTTCTCCATCTTTGAATCAATACAGAAGACCAGTACAAGTGCCAGAACCTGAAAGATCGACCCAGTTATTCCTGCTAAGAGAAGTAGTATTCTCAGTTAGCTCTTTGTGGACTTCCTTGACCAGATACTACCACAGGTACTGGAAATTGTGAGCCATTATGAAAAAGATGGTGGGCTTTCATTAACTTTGCTATTTAAAAAGTTGTTGTTTTAGGCTGAGGCTGAAATAAACTCTGCAGTTAACCACTTTTAGAAGCACTCGTTAACCTTCTCCTTGAGGTATATTTTTTTGTTACTTATAATAGACCAAAGAGAAGGCTTTGACAAACCTTTCCTGGAACGTTAGAGTTTTGAATGTCACCTTTAGTAAGAAATTCTCACCTTTTCCCCCTGTATTCCAATCCCTGGAGCACCTTCAGGACCTCTAAGACCAGGTAACCCTGGTTCACCCTTGAATAGAAAAATCAAAGCAGCATTTCAGAGTACTGCATAGACATGGTGCAAGAACAGCTCTGTATTCACTGGAATAAGCTCATTAAAATCATAGACCTTTTAGAGTCAATGGCAAAGCTCCCACTGATGTCAGTGGGCCCAGGATTTTCTTCCCGTATTCAGAAGCAAGCATTGTAAAACTCTGGGTAGAATGCATGAAATAGCATGTTGCCTTAGTGACGGCTGAACGCTCTGAGTATATAATCTTTAAATATATGGGCTTTCTGCTTCTAGGAAAATACTATGATCAGAAGGCTGTGAAAGGTTGCCTGTAGCCATTTTAGTGTTTTCCCTTCTGAGTTACAGGGCATTTGGTGCATGAAAAAAGCCAACAACTGTAAACAAGATAAGACAACCCACCCACCCCCCCCAAAATAAAGAAAAAAAAAGTTTTACCTAAAAAAGTATATTCTAAAGGTAATTTTTTTTCATGGAAAAATGTGCTACTTTTCCCCTTGTCCATGAACGCTCTCTTCTAGGTTTGGATATTAGCACAGGGAGAACAGTAGGAATGCTTGGAGGGAAGCAAGTGGATGACAGGCAGAGATGAACCAACCTTTTGTCCAGGGGCTCCATCTTCTCCTGGAAGACCAGGCAGACCTGCCAGTCCTGAACGGCCTGGCTCACCCTGACATCGATAAAAAGTAAGTCCTTTTATTAAATACAGACTTGCTACTATTCTTTCTCTGAATCAAGGAAATCTATTTTTTAAAGTTTACTAAACTGTATATATATTCATAGCAAACATTTATGCATATCAACCCAAATCTTGCCATTTTTTTATAAAGACAGCCCTTATGTATTTGGAACTCTCCTACCATCTGACTGTTTGAACTGTGCATTTTATCTATGCAGTTAATATTAGCTATTAATGCTCCAGCTCATTCTTAAAAAATAATGCCATCATTTCATTAAGTAGCAGCATTTCAAGTAATATTAGACAGTGCTGACAGTGACATGATGATTGACATCCTGCTGGTGAATATCAGTGCAAATCTGTTAATGGCAGTGGAATTGTCATCGGCCTATTTATGTAAAGTTTAAGAGCCTGACCTGATTTTAGATGAAATGGGATCATTTGGGGTCAAATGAGTTCATGCACCAGTACCATATTTTGTGAAATTAAAGAAAGAAATTGAACAATTTCTTTTCTTTTCCAACCCCTGTCCCAAATCCCTAACAAACAAGAGCAAAACGAGGACAGCCCTGTGCCTTTCCTCTATCACAAAAGCACTTTTCCATCTATTCCCATATTTTATGTTAAGCTGGCTGTTAATGACATAGGGACTGGTTAATATCTTGATCACTTTACAGAATCACAGAATCACACAGAATGGTACGAGTTGGAAGGGACCTCTGGAGATCATCTAGTCCAGCTCCCCCACCACAGCAGGTTAGCCTAGAGCAGGTCACACAGGAACGCAGGATAGGACTAAAATAATCTGGTTACAGCTTTCTCTTCTCTAAACAATTGTGCTTTCTGTCTAGTAGCACAGCTTGTTTCCCCTGTGAAGGTGTGAGGATGTAGCTGCTGCTCTGTTTACATCCTATCTGGTGTGAAAAGGGAAGGAGCAGCACAATAACCACAAGTGCTTTTTTTCACCAGCTCTGGCTATAGCTTAGCTTGCGCTGGGGACTGTGAGTTCTGGCAACTGTTTAATATTCTGGATCATTTTCTAGACAGAGCTGTAGGTGAGCTGTATGCAACACTGACTTGAGCATGGGCCAGGCATGTGGAAATTTTCAGTCACAATAAATCTTACTGCTTTTGTACAGAACTGGTATATTTAAAATGTTCCAATTTCTGGAGGTTATTGAAAGTCTGTGCTAAAAATTTTAAAGACTAAGAACCCAAATGTTATTTCTAAACCTGTTTTTAAGTACCTACAAAAGGGATACTCAGGAAACACAAATTTCAAACCTGAATAAATGAATAAATAAATAAAGTAATTCCTCTATTAACAATGTACCTTAGAACCAGGTTCTCCAATACCTCTTTCTCCTGGCACTCCAGTCTCTCCTGGCAAGCCTTGTTCACCCTTAAGTAGAAATTATTTTTTAATAGTGTTATTATGGAAAAATATAAAAGCATATTCTTAGTTGCTTATATTTAAAGAAAGATTAGTGTGGTATTGTCTTTAATATGATGTGTTTCAAAGATCAGCAATCTGCAGCGTGTTTTGAGCTGTCACCAAAATGTTGTTGGTGGAAATGATTAATGCTGTAAATCTACAATTATATGTCCCTGTGAATGTTTCCTGCCAAAGTAGCTGATATTTCAGGAGTATGTCTGACATCCACAGATGATTCACCCTTCTCTTTATATCCCTGCCCAGTCACTTAAAATGCAAGAGGTGATCTCTGATGCTGCAAAATACCTGGCGTGGGCCCTTGACCCACCTTTAGTTCCTTTATACTGTGCTTTAAATAGCCATCAGTCATTCAGAACTGCATCTGTCACCTCTTTCAGAAAATCACTTTAAATCTCCATTCCAAACACTGCAAGGGTGATGTCTTTTGTTAACAGTTCTGTAGTTTGCAAATCAGTCAAGGCTAAATTATTCTCACAGTTTTCCTTCAGCAAAGGTAAGCTTCATTATAACTTGGACCATTCTTAACTGCTAGATACAGTAAATACACAAAGTCAGGTGAGACAACAGGCAGCAGAAGCAACAAGGAAAGCAGCCAGTCTGTAAGGTATGTATGTATTTTTCTGGAATGGAAACAGTACAGTGAGGATAAAAGATGATATTGAAATTTTGGTGTTCTGTGTTAAAAGTGCAGCTGCTTTTTGGAATTGATTCACTGCATCTGCACCTGATATGATGCCTGATATGATGAAACTGCAAGGGCAGACAACCCTTTCTGGGGATATGTATTGGACAAAGTGCAGTTCAGTGTCTGATACATAGTCCCTCAAAGGTTCTGTGGTGAACCAAGCCAAAACCTAAATAGATAGCTGTGGCATTGGTTTATCAAGGCTTTTCAGTGGAGTAGGATCTGCTGTACAGTTTAATAATAATAACAATGAAAATAATTTTCTGCAGCTATGTCAATACTTAAATTGGTGTTCAGCACTTTAACAAGCATAAAGATAGAGACAGACCATTTCTTAATCAGGAAACTTAACAGTAAAAAAAAAGCAAAGTAGCTTTTACTTCAGAAAATTCACTAACCTTTGGTCCAGGTAGTCCCTGTCCTGGTAGCCCTCTAGAGCCGGGTGGTCCTTTTGGGCCCTCCATTCCCTGAAAAGATTAGTTAAGTAGTTATTAAAAATAAAATATTCTCTGTTACTACACATAAGTGTGGGGTGAGAGGGAAGTGAAAACTGCACCTTCTCTCCTTGAATTCCAATTCCAGGTAATCCAATTGGCCCAGGTAAACCAGGAGGACCAAATTCACCCTGGCAAACAAAGTACAATTGCTTAGTTGTGTAAAGATACAGAAACAATCTGGGACAGCTCCCGTGCTAGTACGTGTTGACTTAACCTCTCCTGAAGTCAGTGAAGCTGGGGATCGGACCTTTTATCTTTCATATATGCATTTATTACCTGCTGGTTCAGTTGCAAAAAACTGCTAGTCTCTTTTTCACTTTCTAAACCTTAACTTTCCCACAGAATCAGATGCTTTTTGTAACATTTCCTATTTTAATATGAAGAGATGTTAAAATAGGTTGGGAGAGTTTATCAGGCATAAATCTCTACAAAATATCTTATTATCCAGGGTCTGTTGTGGGTTCCTTGCCTCATTACACCTTTTGTAGTGAATATCAAACCTGTATTCCCTGTATTATGTACATTTATTGGCACTTTGTTAATCCCCTGATGTATTTACTGCTCACCTTTTCACCTTTTATGCTGGTGCCTGGAAGTCCACGAGGGCCTTTTGGGCCATCAAAACCACGGTCTCCCTACATGAAAAAATAGTATGTTGTTAACTGTAGGAACACACAGCTGTTCTCTCTGAAGTAACCAGAGACACTGTTTGCTCTGTCATCATGAAAATCAAAATGCAAAGAACTAGAAAGTAGATCCTGGATCTGTTTTCCAGGATAACAAAGAGGTCATCTTTTCAAATGAGCTTGCGCTGCAGTTTGAAACTGCTGATGAAAGAGCTGAACAAGCTTCTTTTTATCTTTCTGCCCACCTCGATTGCTTAAGGGCCTGTCCTGCTTCCCCTCAGATCAATGGCAAAGCCACAACTGATTTAAATGTCAGCATGGCTGAGTAACGAGACTAACTGAAAGCTGAATTCTGCTTATTTGTCTCATGGGTTAATCTCATTAAAGCATGACATTGAGGATCTGGCTCTCATAAGAGTTTTGCCAGAATAAAGACCAGGCCAAAATATATTGTTGTAGAAGTCTATTTGTAAGTGTCTTTGACTTTCTAAATGTTTATTTACAAAACAGTAGTCTTGGGGAAAATGCAGGTTACTAATAGGGACACAAATATTGTGCTTTCTTATACTTCTGTTAATAAAACATGTAGAGACAGAGCATTAGCTTGTGTAAATTATCGCAGAATCACCCAAGGCAATAAAGATATGCCCCAGACAGTTGTCTTCTCTCCGTGGTAATCAATTCCATCATTTTAACTTTGACTGAAATACATGATGTGGATTTCTGTTTAAAATCACATTCTTTACTCCTGCCTTCATTTTCCTTTTTACTGAAGTGAGCTTGTAGTAAAAATGTTCTGAAGAAAGCAACTGTAGAATTTGCTTTAGATTAACAAATCACCTGTTTAAAATGTGTTTAAAACCAGAGAGCTGACATACTTGGCAGCCGTAAATAGGATTAGAGATATGTGTAGACTCTGTTGATACATGCTTGGCTCCAGGTCAGACTTGGCAGTAAAAAATAGTACATTTTTTATAGAATCAAGAGTTCTAGTAATGCTGGCAGAATTCCACTTTGATTATTATTCTGCTGATCTACCTCAACTGCTCAATAGTTTTGGTTAGATTATGCATTCTCCTGTTCTTGTTCCCACTGTGCATTGTTGCTATGCTTTACTTATTAGTTGTAGTGTTTCTTCCCACATGAATTGGTATTTTAGTGGCAATGGAGTGATTTCTAAATGCATTTTCTTCAAATATTTTTTTTGTTTGTTTTAATGCATGAGATCTGCTAAGGAAATACAAGCCATCAACAATGAGGTTAGATATAATTATAATAATATAACTTATCATAAAATATATACTAGTCTGAAGATGCTATGTTGCTAGCAGCAGTCAAATTTAAACTTAGCTGACTACAGTACTGTGCTAAGCAAAAATCCTAAGATTTTTAGTAAAGAGACAGTTGGGGCCTGCATCTGCAAAACAATTTTTTATTGTTTTCCCTACCAAAATTGCCTTGGTGCATGCATAAAGGTGAATGAACCATTTAGTTATTTATTTAGGTCATATACAAGCTATGTCACTTTGTTATTGTAACCAAAGGTCAAAGTGACAACTCAGCCTGGGACTTGGTTTTCAGTGGGTGGCAAAAGGAGCTAGCAGTGAGTCTAGTGAGTTCATCCATGTAGGTGCAACTGCTACTGTCATTGCTTCCACTGGATCTGAAAATGATTACAGCAGCTTTCTTTTCCCACAAACTGAATTCAGACTTCTGATCAAATACATAAGCCAGTGGCTGAGGTATTTAAGAAGCTTAGAAGCCTGTCTTTAGTGACAGCAAAGAGCTCTATATATAAGGATTGAGAAAAAAGCAACAACAACAAGCTAGGTTTTTCATCTAGGAATCACTTTTATAATATTTTATTTAAAGTCAGGTGCTTGAGGCTGTTTTAAAATTATAGCTGGAATTCTTTCCAGGCTTAAATCCCACAAATCAAGCATCAGGTAGATTAAATATCGGCTTTACAGGCCCCAAAGGCTAGCTGTGCTTAGAAGTCATGGTTGGACCAACTGAATTCCATGAAAATACATCAGGTTAATTGATGCCAAATTTTAATATTAATTTACAAGCTACTTTCTCAGATTCCTGTGTCTGCTATGGACTTGTTTTGGCATGCACTCATTTAATGGTGCTGCTCTGGTCTTAAAACCCCTTCAACTGCTGTACCTTTGCTCCTGGAAGCCCTTCTCCTGGTGAACCTCTTTCTCCTTGAACACCTTGTGGTCCTTGAGGCCCCTGTTAACATAAGTTTAAAGTGGCCTAGAATATGTGTTAATCATACAAATCAACAGCAGCATGTTCTATGTCATTGTTGGTTTTAAGCACGTCTTTAAATGGTGGTGTAGTTATAACCTGTTAAAAATAATACAGTAATACGATATTCACAGTGAATAAATGTCGAGCATTCTGGCCTGCAGCAGTAACAAGGCAGACAGTTTCACTTTTCTGGTTGGCTACTTATGAATCACAGGATATGTAGCTGAAATTCCTGTTCCTTACACTTTTGAAATCTTCACTCCCTCAACTTTAGTTTGGTTTACAAATTGTTACTAATCCTTATTAAAGTAGTGGTGTAATCATGAGACAGGGAGAACTAGATTAAAGACCATGCAGAGTAGTACTGAAGAAGATGTAACTGTAGAGAGATTTGACTGTAGTTGGTGAAGAGAATAATAGCATACCCTTCTCTTTTTGAAAGCAGATCTGATAGGAGCACAAGGGGCAAGTAAGACAACTAAACCCTTTCACTAAATGCAAGTCCAAAACCTGTGTGTATTGATCACAGTGTTTTCCTGCATCTGATTTTTTTTTTCCTTCTGAGTTATTCCTTGAGATTACACACACATCACAGAATGCTGGTAGATTGGCTCTGCATAGCCCAAATATGCTTCTGCTTCTTCTGCACAGAGCTTTAGAATTATGCCTTGTTCTTAGGTAAAGATAATTACACTGCATTCAGCCATAAAAAAAAAAACTCTTTTGAAGCAAATACACTTGAAAGTAAATTTTAAAAACACCTTTAGGATTTTTTTTTTTTACATCAGAATCTCTTGTTATACCAATACAGCTGTTGTGGCTAACAAAGGTGCACATCACAGGCATCTCTTCTCCCACAAAGTGGCTCTTTCTTTATGCTGTTGAGGAGACTCAGGAAGAATTACTGCCCCACTTTGACTGACTGTCACCACTGGCCTTATTAGTAATGTTCTTTTCTTTGGGCTCTTCAATGAGAACTCACTCCTCTCCAGTAGTGTATTTTGAAGCGGGTTTGAGATCAGTCAGTTCAGTTACCGAACCATCTTTCTGTTTTTCATGGGAGCACCTCTTTTGAAATGATTGTTACAAATCTTTTCTTGTCAATGAGGTAAAGCTACTTGTGAAAAAACTGCACAAAATTTCCCTCGTGGTTGCACTAGGGATCTTTCATCCAGGTGATGAGGAATGAATCTGAGTCTGCTGTATTGTAACTAGCTCAGTAAAAGGTGCTGTCTGACACTGAAAAAAAGCGACCATAAAATTGGTGTACTGATTTTCTGAATTACCATGAAGAGGTTGAGTTTACAACTACAGGAGGAGGAAGGGAAATAAAAGAAGAAGAGACTTCAGAACCAAACCTACTATAAATTCTGAAAGTCAAATATTTTTTTTTTAATTTCTCCCTCTGTTATCTCCAGTAAAGATAATACCAGTCAAATTGTTACCCAGGACCCCTTATGCAATCTGAATGTCTTTATGGAGGTTGTTTAGGTATGACTGTTTCTAATATTACAGTGGTTGAAATGGAGTCTCTGCCTCAAAGCCATGCTGATGTTAATGTTCTAATTACACTGAAAAGCAGTCAACTTCAAAGTTATCACATGTGGATTTTAATCTATCAGGGGACAGATTTATTTAAATGTTAATGTGGTTTTGCATAAGGTGTTATTTTTACATAGCTGTTTAGGAGACTAAGATAATTAGAAAAGTTAAGGAATTGGAAACATTTCCAGGTTGTTGAGGGAAATGGAAGTTAGACAAGGTAGTATGTATGAGAGTGAGAGCCAGTGGAAGGAAGAAAAGAGATGATATAATTTAACACACATATATGCCTGTTAACAGGGAAGCACTGAGAATTTTTCCTTTCTATCCTGTTTTTTTCACACCACATTAAAAAATAGACATACCATAAGTCCTGGCTCACCAACTCCAGGTGGGCCGACAGGGCCCGGTCTTCCTGTCAAACCGGTGTCACCCTTCAAACAAAGATGGATTTGGAAAATGCCTAATTTAGGTATTTGTATGTGTGCAGCATGTAACAACTCATCAGACATTCTGTGCTTGAAATACTTGATGTAGAATACAGGAATGGCAGAGAAAATCTGAGTGTCCTGAGAGTCATACAATATGCAAGGCCTGACAGACATTGAACTGGTGCAGTTTCACAGCATTAGGGGACAGCCTCAATTCTGCATTTGAGAGAAGCCAATGTTGAATATAAATGGTTAATTGTTCCCATCATCTTCCTAGAATGTTATTTATCACTTATTGTCGTTTTCCAAGAAGTCAGTATTTCTGTCATAGTGTTTCTGCTTTCTTTACGCCAGCCATCCAAACCAAAAAGCCTGCTTTTCACAGGATAATTTTTGTTTAATTCTATGTATGCATTTTTACTCAGCCATACACTGCTTGGATTGAGTTATGTCGAGTGTAAAAACTACTGTAAAAAAGTACATTCTTAAAATGTACTTTTTTTTTTCCAAACAGTTTTCATCAACATACAGAATACCTTTACAGTACCATAAAAACAGCATTTGAGGGCTTGAAGTTTCTCATGTACCAGCAAGTATATTATCTCAGCTGTCTTGGTCTTCATTCTTACCCTACAATACATGTAATATAGAAGATGAGAGATGCTTGTACCTTTGGGCCTGGCAGTCCTATTCCAGTCTCTCCAGGCAAGCCAGGTGGCCCAGGGAGACCTCTTTCACCCTTTTCAAAGAATGAAAAAAGAAACAATTTTACGTATAAATTGGTGTCTAGGGAAATCAGTTTAACTCAGTTTGTAAGTTAATTTTTTGTATATCCTGGCTTTCAGCCCATTGGAATTGTCTTACACAGTACTTCATCTGTTCACCCTTTCAATGCTTCAAAATTCTCTTTATTAAGAGACTGGATATTTCCTGTATAAAATGATACCAGATTAAACAAAAGGAAAAATGTTTAGGGGTATAAGAGTTTTGACACTCAACTGCTCTGTGCCTCACTGTTGTCCAGCAGGCGCTCTAAATATGGTGCAAAGGAGATGTCAAAAGAGGTAATGTCCATTATAAACTTATTTTCGGGTTTTTCTTCACAACAATATTCCTTTCAGTAGCTGAAGAACCCATTAGCCTTGGCTGAATTACTCAGTTTAAGGTTTTTCTGAGAAGCAAAGTGTTAACTGTGGTCTCTCTTAATGAAGTTAAAACAGTTCCCGTAACTGTCTATAATACCCAGTGATATTTGCATCTTTCATTAAGCTACTATGTTAAAGATCACAGAACTACAGAATGAAGTAATCTCCATCGGTACACCTGGAGTTTACAATGCGGTCAGTGAGAAGTAAACCCAGCAAATCTTAAGGATTTAATAAATGCAAATCATGTGTTTTTCAAACAAACAAACAATATTTTATGTTTATAGAGGGGACTGGATCTTCCAGTGAAGCACTGGGTGATTTCTGTGGCCTGCCTTCAGGGGGCCCATTGCAAGACTGTGTCCTGAATTGCGCTCATCCTTGTGACTTTCACATATCTTCCGCTGAACATCAGGAAGTGGGACTACTAATTTTGAGCTATACAATTCTTCTTGAGAACGTACAGTTTCAAGAGAAGAGTTTGTTTGAGATCCCAGACAGAATTCCTGCTTGGCACTTAGGGAAAAAAATAGTTTTAAGTCGAAAAGTGAAGAAATGCAATGCTGCACTGCTGCTAAGTAATATTCTGTGATGCTGCCATATTTTAACTGTTTGTGAAAAAAGACTGGAGTGTGATTTGGACCTGAATCCAATACAAAGAGCGAATGAAGACTTTTCTTAGGAACCTTGTAGAATACAGAGTATATGACTTGGTAGCAACGTCACATTAAACTGTATCCCCTACAAGAAAGGTATGGAGTATAAGAATAAAAGCATTATTGTTGTGAAGCTGTATTAATACCTTTTAACATTAATAAAAAGAAGAAATAATGCAGTTCTTGCCTTTGATCCTTGCAGGCCTTCAGGCCCTTGATCTCCAGATTGTCCTTGTGGACCCTATTAAAACAGGAGTGGTTTTAATGAGATTTTTTTCAAGCTTTCCTAACAATAGCAAATCTCTGATTTGCTGTAGTCTGCATGAAAACATGATTTACAAACATTTCAGAACTGAAGCTTTGTTTTCTGATGCATGTATAGATTCAGCTACTCAATTCAGTTGGAGCTGGGTCTGATAATAGGGGGAGAGAATTTGGCTGTCCCTTTATTTGAATACAATTAAAGGTAATCTATAGTTAAGATTTACTGAAACATCTATGATCGGCTAAGCTTCCTGGCCTTCAGTCCAAGAGTATTGGGATGAAAAGAGACTAAAGTGTTTCCATGTGCTTCTGTGAGATACTGAAATAGATAAGACACTGAATGGGAAAGGAGTGATTTTGGTTTTTGTGGAACTGTATTTGCTGTTGTCTTTGAGTCTGGATGAATTATAAGGATGATTTAATTGTCTAGACTGCTATTCCAAATTCTTGTTAATTTTGCTGCTTAAGAAGATAGATTTTGGATGCCTTGAACTCAGTGACTCAAAAGATTCCATGACGGTTCTGTTATGATATTATTTCAGAGCTTTGAATCCCAGGGAACCAGGTATTGATGATTTTACATTTTCTTTCTTTTTTTTTTTTTTTTTTTTTTTTTTTTTTACCTGTAGCCCTTTTGTTCCTCTGGGGCCTATTGGACCTTCAGGACCCTGAAAGGCAAGTGAAAAAAGAGGATACATTCATGTGTATTAGATTTGGTCAAAACCACTTTTAGATAAATTTTTACTGAGGTATCTTATTTAGATATCTTTACATTAAAATAAAAAATAAAATCAAGAGAAGCTCAGCAGCCAGCAAGTATTGAATAAATATTTTTAAAATGGACTGTGGTAATCAGAATACAGAGTAAAAATGAACAGTTAATTATCAAGGACCAGTAATACAGGACTAAACTCTATTTAATTTAAAATATTCACAGCAATTATAGACCAAATCTTGAAGACTGGTGTTAGAAACCTTGATTTAATTTTCACCTCTCATTCCCTTTGCTTACTACTTCAAGCCTTCTGCCTCTGTTAAAGTCAAGTAGAGTTTTACCATTGTTACAAACAGGCTTAGGCTTGGGTCTTAAGAGGAATCACATTAAAATATAGAAGGAGCTGAGAAAGTTACTTGCTCACTTCATTTTTTAAAACTGTCAGTTGTTAATTTCTCTCAGCCTTAGAATTAATGTTTGCATTAAATCTATCACCATGGTGATTGTAGTTTTTCTGTATTTTAACTGTGTTTCCTGAAAGCATAACAACTTTGTGGCTACTTACTCTGTCTCCTTTTATCCCTGGGATTCCACATTCACCTCTTTCACCCTGGAAAGGAACAGGAATAAATATTTATGAGGTATAGTGATCATACAATCCTATTCTTTGGATGCTTTAGTTGAAAACCTAATTGTTATTCTATTCATGACATAGCAATTGTGCTGGAAGTTCATTGGGGAAGGGACACATCTATTAGAGGATGATGTTGTTCATTGGTATTTATAAGAAATATGGCACTGTACATAATAAATAATAATAACATCAAATATCTATATGTAAGCAGAAGTTCTGACTAAAAGTAGTACCTTCTCTCCTTTATATCCAGATTTCCCCTGGGAAAATAAAAAAGCAAAGCAGGTTGTGAGGATATATGTAAGAATGTGAGTATTAGCGCTATTAACATTTGACTCTCTCTAGAAAAACAGCATTTCGGGTTATAATGAACAATTAGGTAGGAAAGGTGATCTCCGATAAACATGGCAATACGAGTCTACATACTGCACCGACTGGTCATGACAGATGCTGTTGTATGTGTGAACAAATCTTACGAAAGTGTCATTTTAGACTGGGCTTTTGATGATGTAAAAGCAGATCAACTAGAGTTCATATTTCCATCTTAGTGAGAAACATGCTAAAATAAGAAAGCAAGAAAGAAGTAATTAATTAAGAAGGATGTACTGAATAAATAAGAAAATATAAAGTACAGTGGTTCATATGTGAATGAATTCAAAGTTAAGCACTAAGAGGCTGGTCCTACAATTACTTCCTATATGTATTTCATTTAACTTTTTCATCATTATTACACACTGGTTCCTTTATTTGCCAAATGAAGAATTTAAACCGACCCATAAAGATGCAGGCAGAGTGTCAATTTCTGTAATATTCTTAGCTTATATCAGAACTTTCTTAGGAGAGACTATGTATTATTAGAGACTATTTTCTAGATCACTCTTACGAGAAGGAATTACTCCCTTTCTTTAAGCAATGATAATGTTTTTGGTTCTTCTAGTGTTAATGAATCATTAGCTTGTAAACTGGATTGAAATGTGCTATTATAATTAAAAAAAAAAAAAAGTGTTTTACCTTGAAGGAACACTGCTCATTGAAGAAGGTAAAAAATTATTTTCTTACCTCTATTCCATCTTGTCCTGGGATTCCATTAAGCCCTGGCTCCCCCTATGAATAATCCAACATCAAGATCAGTGAAATCAGGATAAAATAGTATAGTCCTGATTAGCTGAGTAGGTATCTCAATGCAATACAGGAGGCAAACCAGCTCCCTCTTTTACACTCTGATGAATTTATATGTTAGATACAAGATTTTAATTTGTAAAGAATCTTAGTCTTTATTGCAGCAAAAGGGGGTAGATGAAGCTTAAGAAATTCACAGGTGATAAGTACATGGGCACTGTTAGGATAGTCTGTTCATATTAATGAAGTACCAAATCTTTCTCCTAAATCACATCACCTTTGCTCCTTTCACGCCTGGAGCTCCATCATCCCCAGTGCGACCCTTTTTACCCTGAAAACAACAAAATAAAATTCTTGTAATATATGTTAGTCAAATAATTTTATTTTACAATATATGCACTATTTTTTAATATATTTTGAATATTTGCTTCCTATAGTTTTATTTTTAAAAATATTTGCATTTGCCATAACCTTGCAATGGAATTTCTGGGAGCAGCAGGACCAACTCAATAGGCAGCTATTTTTCTCTTTTGTCTTTGTTGTACACAAAAATAGTTCAGGTCTGCTTTGAAGAAAAGTGGTGGTCAGATGTTTTTGTAGCTACCCAGCTTTTGAACTCTTTGAGGTGTATGCTTTTAAGAGGTACTTGCACTCTCCAAGTAAAGACATCAAATAATAACTCAAACAAAACTACTGTTTGCACAGAGGAGGCTACATTTTCAATTGAAGTGTGCTGTACTGTGCAGGATAAAACCAGTGTGTATTTCTGTTTATCTATGTATAAGATGTTCAGGTCAAAAGGATGAGGATGGGCACATCTCTAGGGTTCTGTTTCAAACTCTGACACTATCCCTTCTGTTTGAGCATGGGCTATAAAGTAGCTTTATGGTGCTTTAGTTCAATATTAGGGATATAAAAGAACTCTGAAGAGTTCTTTTTGAAACATAAACCCTGCAGTTTAGAACACCAAACCTTGTATGAAGCAATCCTCTAGATTTGCTTAGGGGTTCTAGTTGTAAGACTGTTCTGAAAGAAGTCTAGTCTATTTTACCCTCTTAATAGGTCTCGTCTCAATTGTTGGTATTGCTTCAGCCTCTTGCTTTCTCTTTTTCTTTCAGAGAGCTTTTGGGATCTTAATGTTTGATTTGGGGCTAGTTAGATCCACCTGGTCTAGTTGTCTGATTGTAACAGGCGAATTATTGTTCCACAGAGCTCCTTCCTGCCTTTTAAACTGCTGTGGCTAGAAGCAGGCCTCACCGCATCACACTGTTCTTTTTTCAGAGGGAGCGTCTCGTGGCATTCTCAGGTATCTCCGTGCATTTCCTACTGTGTGACATTTCCATGCAATGTAACTATGGAGGACAATGTATTGAACCTCTAAATTTTTTGTCTCAGGATTTGGGTTCAAATAATTTAAAAAAAAATTCCAACAATGAAATAAATCTTGATTATGCTGTATATCAGTTATTTGAGAAATGACAGCTACTTACCGCAGGGCCAGGAAGGCCTTTTTCCCCCTTCTCACAGTTACATCTGGCAGCCTGGGGACACTTTGAATGAAAATAGTCCAAATCAGCACATTTAATAGAAGAGAGAGAAAATACATGAACATTGATTTTAAGTTACTGTGTGGCTAGTCTGAGTACACCAGTAATGATCAGAAGACAGTTACATTTACATGTTTTACAGAAATCTTTTAACTGTCAGTTATCACCAGGAATGTGGCCTCCTACCCTCCACCCAAAAGCCATATCATGCCTACCTCTGAAATTTCAATCATCTTGATAATGGCTTTACCTCCAGACTCTTCATAAGGTCAGTTTATTGGTATGCTGTGTCTATGACCGTATATTTGTTTTGATTACTAGTCACCATAGAAATAGCCAAGATGATGGGGTAAGAAAACATCTTACATCCTTTTTCCACTTTACTCCACTATATGTAGGACAGATGTAGTTTATATGTAGACATATGTTGTTTAGCTCTAGCTTGATCTATAAACAAAACATGTTATGGATGTATACTTTTATCTAGTTAACGCAATTCATTATAATAGTTTCTAATCTTTCTTTTTCTTCTGCCATCTCTACCATCATGTGTCCCAGTCAGACGTCATTATGGTATATAGTTATGTGACTTTTAGGATCTATTTTAAACTTTAAAACCATTACATAATACAGAATTATTACAGATACTGGGGTTGTTTTTGGAGGAGGAATAAGGAATGTTGTTTTTATTTTTAGTTTTCTTATTTATTAAACCTCCACTCAGCTTGGAGATGTCTAGATGTAAGTGAAGGATTTAAATATCAGTCTTATCTAAATATCCCAAATAATAAGAATATGTTTTCCAGTGCCTTACTACTTCAGGATTTATTTTGACAAAGAAAAATCAACATGCCAGTGGAAATGAGTGAAAAATAAAATGCTTCGAGTTTTGCAAACACTCGTAATATTTAGCAGCTTCCCTGAGCTGCTCATCAGAACCGTCTTTGCCGGAAATAACTGTACCTTAAGTAGGACTAACATCTTTAAAAGGAAAGCTAACTTTATCCCCCCCAAAATGGCAGCCAGACCTACCAATGCCTGCAGTTAGGGTGACACAGTGTGGACAAACTGGAAAAGTGCAATCGTGGAGCTTTGTTCGAGTTCCTTCCCTTTCTTTAACTGTTACATAGGAAGAGCATTAAGGGCTAGAACTGCACCACATTCGGCTCTGTGTCATGTTTTCTTATCCACCGAGTCTGTTGGATGACGTGCCGAGATGTATCAGCAAATTCTTGTTAACCTGAACACTCACACATTTTTCTTTTTCAACTTTGAAAATAAGGAGGGAAAGTAAATGACATGAGGATAGCACTGTTCTGCAAATACAAAAGCATGTTTTACTCGAAGGCAGTCCCGTTAGACTCAATTTTTAACCAAATTCCTGAGCTATCAGTTTTCTTGAATTATATTTCCATATAATTGTAGACGACTATATTAAGCAGAAGTTGTGTACAGGAAAAAAAAAACAACTTACCTCTTCCTCAGACAGATCTTTCTGTAAAGACAGATATTCAAAACAACGTAAGAAACTGAAAATCATAATCCAGCTCTACAAGGACACTGAAAGATGTTAAAATAAATTGCTTCAGCAGCTAGTTAATTAAATTATGCAATTAACATAGTAACTTAACATTAATTAAGCCTTAATTTCTGGGAAACATTCTAGCAACCTCTTAATTCTAAAAAATAATTTAAATAACTCTAATTCCTGTTATAGATTCTTGACTGCACAAATCACTTACTCTCCTTGTCCAGCCATAATTTGCTAAAATTACAATGATAAACAGACCTAAACCAACATAGTTAGCTAGGTATATGGGAACAATGCACCCAGAAACAACACTGTTTCCAAAGTGCTGAATAGCAGCAGCTGTCTAGTGGGAGTGAATGATATATACCCTACACTTCAGAAAATCAGAAGCTCTTCTATGCATACTGTTAGGCGCACACAAAATGAGAACAGTAAGAACACCTTAGAAAAGATTTGACTTTGACGGTGATCGCATGAAGTTATCACGGAATTAGCTCTGTTATTTTTCATATTATCTCTACAACAGCAACACCCACGTACAATGCATTCCTCCCACTTTTCACAACTGATGTACTCTTTTGAGAGGACATGAACGTGTTGATGAGCAGCAATGCAATACACATCTCCCAAATTCACGTTTGCACATATACTTATGCCAAGCTATTATTTAAACCACACAGCAGCCATGTTCTCAAAAGAAGGCACCTGCGGATGGCTGCTTGTTTGGAACAGGTAAAATGAAGTGTGTTTAGTCACTTGGGAGGTGGTTGCTGTGAATCAGAAAGCAATGGTAATACTAGAGAAGATGGGAAGGGTGATATACAGGGAAACCAATGCAGAATGGCAGGCTGTTGAAGTGAAGGACAGACAGACGGGAAGGCCAGCTTGTGTACATGCTCTAAGCCTGTATGAGATCACTTAGGTGTCAGTTTCCCTGCAGGAGTCTCCTGGTTGCTATTCATATTTCTGTTTTATATCTCTGTGCATGCTTGGATCAGGACTTCATCCACAGCTTGTGTCACCAGATTTATAGGCTAGAGGATGGCTCTATTCTCCATATTGGCAGGGAATGTTTTTTTATACATTAAGTTCACATGCAGAAAAGAGGCACCCAAGCGAAACTTTAAGCTCGTTTTACAGATTTCCTTTTCATTATGTGGTAGGTTTTCCATGTAAATATAAAAATGTCTATGGCCAAGTTAAAATTTTAGCTAAATTGACACATCTCCATTAAGGTCTATAATTTTATTTTCACTTCTGCAAGAGCTGCATCTTTTTTAGTACAAAAGGCAATGTCACATTCCTACTTGCTATAGAAGAAAGCACTAGGATATCAAAAATTGGTTGTTTTTTTAAGAAAGGAGGTCTAAAATAGCTTTCTTAGGAGGAAAACCAGACATAATAACAACTACACAACAGGTCTCTTTAAGTCTTATTCAATTTCCTACTTCAAATATTTTAGCTGGCAAGATCTGAATGGTGGGGAGAGAAAGGAAACCTGTACTTTGGCACAGTGGTCTTATTAGTAAACATGCTGCTTTAACATGTAAAAAGCACAGGTTTCTTCAATAGTGTAAGTCTGTCAAAATACTGGAAATGAGACAATTTTTTACATAATGTTCCTATAACTATTTCAAATTTTTTCTCATACATACCATTTCTTTGAGAACCTTCTCCACAGTTTCTTTCTCCTGCAGGTTGAAAACAAACCTGGATGCCGGGTTGCTGGCCAGGAGCCGGAGCTTGGCTGCATTGCTAACCTCCTCGGCCACTCTAGTCATTCCCATTGTGAAAAATACAATTCCTTGGTGTTTAGCATCAGCTGTAGCTGCAAAAATATCTGGGTTTCTTGGATGGTCGACTCCATCAGTGAAGAGCATGGCTACTTTCACACTGCCCGGAGTCCCTTCAGTCATGTAGAGTTGTGTGAGGTTAGTTATAGCGTAAGTTGTGTAGGTGCCATGACCTATGTAGGTGATGGGAGCAATGTGGGATTTGAATGCTTCAGGACCTTTCCAGTCATGGAAAGTTTGCTCTATGAAAACAGTGCTGCTGTACTGCAGTAAGGCCATCCTCCAGCTAAGGGTACGTCTAGAACTAAGCTGTAGGCTTTTCATTCTGTCTACTGTTTCCAGTACAAATTTTTTCTGTTGTTCATGGTTATAGTCCTTAGCACTTTCAGAGCTGTCCAGTAAAAAAGCAATTTCCAGAATGCAGTCTTCATCTAGAATAAATAGGTAGGTAGGTCAGTGGAGTGATTTCATACTAAATCTCATTCTACCCTTGCCCTTATGTGTATTTTAGGCTTCAAAAGTGAGAGTGCAATTATGGAAATTTTTTAAAACCTCTGTGATCTGAAGTGTGAGACCCTCATGAAGACAGAGCATGTAGAGGCTGAGAAATTTGCTCCAGAACAGATGCCCCAAAGAATAAGAAACTGAAGGTGAGGTGATGTCATAGTATGAAATGAGGAATGTTGCAGTGGTTTTATACAGTCATTGTGTCCTCTTGCCTGGTATTTCACTGAATTTCACCAGGATGAGGACTGGGAAGGTGGAAGTAAAATGAGTCTTGCTTAAATAAGACACTGGGATGTAATTTGACAAAGCTAGATTTTGTCCCTGGTACTGACACTTGTATCCAGTGATGTAAAAGTTTCCAAAAGCAGGATCTGCAGCGTATTAATTTTCGGAGCTACTGATGATAATTCTTCTACAGAAATACAGGTATATGAGCTATTATTCTTGTTGTGACAGTACAGGCTATTTGCCATATCATAAAGGCCTAGAAGTAATCTCCTTTTCTGCAATACACAAAAAAGGGAGGGAAAAGATGGGAGTAAAAAGATAAAAATGCAAAAATAAGGCATGTGAAAATGTAGTATGAGGCAAGCCTGATTATAAGCAGTATCTTAGAATGCCAGTTAGTCATGTAGTCCAGAATCCAAATAAATGAATCAGGAAAAAAAACCCACACCTGTTTTAAAAGTACAATATTCACCTTGTTCACTTGCGCTCGGATATTTTTCTACAGTATTTGGCAGAATGTGTTTAGGTTTTGGTCTTCTCAATCCATATCTTTTTTCTTCCCTGAGATTTTCTGCTAAAAACTCATGGTGTTCAAGTATCCACAAAAGCCACCAGAATGTGAAGAACATCGTTTGTTTGGTTTCTCTTTCCTAAACAACACAAATAGTATGAGAAGCAGAAAACATTATTCAATTTTGTTCAACAGGTTGCCTAGCAGGCTGTATTTTAAAATATAGTCCCTAAACCCTAGCTGATTTTATTTTCTTTTGCTAAGATCTTCTCCATAATATGTAATAAGTCAGAAGCAGAGACTTACTGGAGCGATTTTCAAGCGTAGTGCATATAGTTCTAGCACATGACAAACTGGAGACAGACGTTTTACAAACATACTTCAGTTCTCTCACTGCCTGGTAGTGTTGGTACAACCAGCACTTCTCAGAAACCTTAATCTTGGCTGTACCCATGTGGATGCAGCGTGAATCCCAAGTGTCATTCACAGGGGTGGTTTTTTTAAACCTGCTTTTTCCAGGCAGACCTTTTTTCCTGTTTTCTTTACTTAAGAACTGAGTGTCATGCATACTTCTTGCTACCGCAGCCCCCCTGTCCTCAGCAGCCCTACAGAGGAACAGTCATGGCCCGGGGGTGCTGTCCAGGCATGAGTGTACCTGCTGTGCAACGCTGGGGACATGTGAACCCAGAGTGCTGAGCCCAGGCTTGAAAGCTACCTATCGATAGGACTTCTTCCTTCTGCAGGGACTGGAGCTGTTCGTCCTGGGCTTACAGGCACAGACGGAGCCCACAGGCTGGTCAGGTACTGACAAGTCAGTCCTGCCCGACTTCAATTTCATTGTCATCTCCCTGCCAGCTCTCCCCAAGCAGGCACAACACGTAGTGAAAGGGCAGCTCAGTGGCAAGAATGAACCTGCCAGGACTGAGCATCTCAAAGAAGTCCCTAACACAGCCATGTCTGCAGGGTTTCTCAGCTCCTACTAGTTTAGGGCAGCATTCTGGTGCCCACAGACACAGAGAGGACAGGGGGTCCTTACCTCGATGTTGCTAAGTAAAAGGCTCTGCAGATGCAGGATGCTGCCCAGGGTTCGCTGGCAGCTGCGTTGTTCTCCCTGTGCTGGATGCTCTGTGAGAAAAGGAGGGAGAAGTTGGGCTGCAAGCTCCTGTGAGAGTCGGTGTCATGTGTCAGGAGAGGCCAGCAGACAGAGGCAAGGAGAAAGGGGAAGAACAGCAATCCTGGCTCTCCCTTCTCGGCACCGCCCACTCCTCTCCTCCTCCCTAAGCTCTGCACGTGCATCCTAGTTTTAGTCCCCCGTAGCCATTTCCACACATAAATCCTCATCCATA